CCTAAACAGAGGGAGCCAACCGCACCGCTGCGCCGGGCCAGGGGCGCGAATCCGACGAAACGCGTCCGCACACTCCTCTCAGCCACAAACCCACCTTTCTCGCCCCTCCTCTCACCCACCCACACCCACACACAAACAGTCTCTCGTAGCCATCTGACGCCGCGTTGATTCCGTGTGACTCCATCCAGACGACTGCCCTCTCGTGCCCTTCCTCCAGAAGTCCACAAGCTTGCCAATCTGAGCTTGCTACACAACCGCAATCGGAACGCCTCTGGCTTCTCAGTTGGAGTGATCTCTAATGAATCAAGAAATTTCACACTAGGATATGACGCAGATTTTAATATTACTGGTAAGTTTAAAATACTACGCACAATTTAAATATTTTTCATGAAATCGTAACTAACGTAACCCCTCTGTAACTAATAAAAACCTTCCATTATACCAAATACTTTTTCTTTTCTTTCCTTTTAATGTATTTGCGCTTACTTCAAGAATTTCGGATAATCCTACCCTGAACATCAGAGCACCAACGGATCATACCTCAATTTAGCCTTGATGAAAATATTTTAAAAATAGCATACAAAATATATAAACGCTCCAGTAGAGAGCCATGTGGCACCTGGGCGGAAACCGACATCCATTCTGAGCGCTGCAACTAAGTTATGAGTTACCATTGGACGTGTCTAGCGTTCCCTCTTTTTTCCCAACCACTTCCGCCCGCAGTCCGCTACATCCCGTCGCTGCATTCCCAGATGCCATGTCTTCCACCTCTGCGAGGGTGCCGGTCGAATTCCGTCCTCAACTGCCCCCCTCCCTCCTATGAAACCGGCATCATCAGTCACGACGAGGCACGTGACATCACGGACTCGCGTGAATCCCCGGAAATTGTTGGTAGGCCCGTGCTCATGTCACTCAACTAAAATTATAAAAAAATAAATTAAAAAAATAGGTAGCGCCTTCATTAGAGTGAAGAGGATTGAAGAGACGTCAGTTCATCAGTAGCGAGTATGTCAACGAAATCGTGCGTATTTATGCAGCCATAACTTAAATTTCAATGGCATACAAACGGCAATAAAAATTTCGTAAGTTGATTTTCAGAAAGTAGGGAGGCGATAATAAGGAGAATGATAAGGAGAAATTCCCGACAATTCGTCCGTCACCCATAACGACAATAAATTTAGTTCTTCTTATAAATTCTTGTATTTCGCATTAACTTTATAAATGACACATTCAGGAATCGAAATTATTATTCTCCAGTCGTGCAGATGGTTGATTGCTTCTTTCCGCAAAATAAATAGCAGCAAAACGAAAGAAGTAATTACCGCACCGAAAAAGCGAAACGTGACAAAAAATGAAATGTCCCAAAACTGATCTAAGTATACAAATCACCAAAACGGTTCTAAAAAGACCTTCAAAATCACCATATTCAATTGTACTTTTAAAAATGCGGAATCAAACAGGATACTGAACTCTGAGTTTCAAAATCAATGATGCACACGCGACACATGTGAAAACCTATGAGAAAATAATCATGGCTCCCAATCTAATATTTGTGTGGACGATTCGACCAACTTTCCCATTACACAACTACCACAAGGGACACGAGCTGAACCATCTGTCACCTCTTTCCCTTTCCGTGACGCACACGGAAATTGTGCATGCCCTTCATTTCAGAAAAACGAAACAGCGGGCCAACGGTAAGTTAAAAGGGTGCTTCCATACCTCGATCCACTGGCGCTGCTTCCCCACAACTCAACACGTGATTAACCTTGGAGGTTTTTCTTTTTTCCATTTACATATAAACGCCGTCACTCGAAAACGCTGCCTCCGCATGGCGGAAAAAATTAAACGTAAAAACTGCTATAGACAATAGACGCACAGCGACTGGCGTTGCTCTCATTATGGGTTCATTTCCTTTCGGCGATTACGGAATCGGTCGCCGCTTTGTTCTCTTGAAGTTTTGGGCCGGAGCAGAAATAAGAATTAAAATTAAACGCAGAGAGAGAGAGAGAGAGAGAGAGAGAGAGAGAGAGAGAGAGAGACAGACAGACAGAGAGAGAGGGAGAGGGAGAGAGAGAGAGAGCGCGCGCAGTAGCTCGGAACGAGTGACGCGTCCGGAAACGACCCGTAAGTGGAAAGCGCGAGCAGGGGCAGTTGGGAAAATAAAACACACGTCCACTTTTCACCGAATGTATATAAAATGTGCGGCTGCGCCTGAATGTTTTTGTATCAGAAAAAACAAAAACGAGTTTCTCTGCTGACCCTTTTAGCTAAATTCCTCAAGGTACGTATAAGGCACGATGTGTTTTTGTCATCATCAATGTCGCTACTCCATTTGCAAATTGTGATGAATGTCAAATACTTCGCTTAGAAGTAAAGTGACATCTTCATTCAAAGTACCCACATAAGAATTTTATTGTTTATACATACAGATTATTGATTACTGCAATCATGTTTTTCTAGTTCTGTTTAATACGTTGAACAAATGGCTAATACACAGAGTATCAAAAAATGCTACAGACTTTTTTCACTTTGTGGATTCGATCCTTAACATTCCATCATTATCATTAGAGAATACTATATTACGAGAAAATTGTATCTGCTAAAATTTAGTTATCCATTATACTTTAAGCACACCCAGCATCGAAAGGAACTGAATTTTAAAAAGGTGTTTTATAATACAAACGCTTTGTTAGTGTCATTTCGCAATGGCTATTGAAACAATGGCTTCATCGATTAACGATCACCGTAAACATTTTACCTTTTCATTAAATCTTCACAACATGGAGGTAACGACTCGATTTCAACAACGAAGCGTTATGCTCCTTATTTCATGCAGTAATATGTTCGCACAAACCTTTTCACACCACATCAACATTTCTCGGCCCCTCCATCACCTTACCTGGAACAAAGAAACAACAACAACATATAGTTCATTGGCAAAGCATCACGAGTATACACATCACATACAGGTTAATTTAAACGATAACACTAACTCACTAGTTAAGGAGTCGCGAGTTCCATCTACAATTACCTCCAGGGCGTTTCATTCCGAGGAGCTATAACTTAAGCGCCCTGTTCCAGACCTCATTTCGCCCGCCTGCTGCCCGCCTGCCAGCGGTGACAGCGGACGTGGCCCGCAGCGAGAGCCGAGCGCGCATAAATTTCTTCGCGATGGATCGAGAAGTCACACGGGACTCGCCGCGCTGCTCGCGCCTTCGCTTGTTTAACAGCAACGCGAATGATAATGTGGGCCCCTACAGAGCAATGTACCGACAAAACAGCGCCATTAAACTATTAATAGAGGGTACAAAAGTATGTTATTGTATAATTCAAAAATGTTCTATCTGCAGCACAGAGCCGACATTTGTCCTAAGAGTAAATACTGAAGCATCACCACATGGTGTTCGTATCGACGTAACAGCTTCGATCAAAACGCCTCTGACTCTAGTGGCAACACCTGTACCACTCCCAGAATAGAAGAAGAAAACAGTACAAGGAAATGAAAACCAACAATATATTTTTGGTGAATATAAATGAAACATTCTACTTAGATTTCACATCTCTGATCTATCGGATGAAATCAGATCGGAGCCAACATTGCCGCTGTCGGTAGCGAATCTGTCCCGCAAATCTTGACGACACTGTGTTCGACACTGACGATGGCGTATTTTCAACCCTAGTTGCACAAACTCGAAGTCAGCCGCTTTCTGGAGGAGAAGTATGGCGTCCGGTGGTTTGTAGCCTGCTCCGACCGTTAGTTTTTAGTGGTTTCTTCGGATCTTACAGTTTGTCTCGGTAGCAGCGAGGCCCCGCAGGAGAGATACATGGAGATAGAAATCCTCCTCTGGTCGACATAGATCGGCGCATCATTCAGTGGGGAAAAAATACCGCCACCTTCCAGAATAAAATAATCACTACACTAATGGGACTAATTGCTATAGCAGTTGACGTGCCCGTAAAGAATAACATATTCGATCTATTAATATTATTTTTTATGTATTGCACAAAATGTAACATTTTATCTATTAAATAATTTCAGCACTAAAAACCATGTATGGGATAGGTAAAACTAGATGACCCAAAATGTAAGCATGTAAAGATACCATATAATATTTACATTATTAGATCATCAACCAGAACAGTGTGGCTATCGTTTCACTGTCTTGATTAAGCTTTTTAATGCAGAGTCTAACAATTGCTAACATTGCATGAATGGATGAACGTCAAAACGATACTTTCAAGAATTGGTGATCACTTGTTTATAAAGTAAAGTATTCTTCTTTCCTTGTCCACGTATTTCTTGGAGCTCGTTCCTAACTCACATTTACAAAGCTTTATCACAACACACTATTTGACGCTCGTAAACAATCGCACATGACGCGAAATTCCAACAAACCTCAACAAATTGAAAACGAATCCAATAAAGCACCTATCCTAGCCGTGCGTTCTCCTCTTTCCAGCTTACACGTTGGAAACCTGCGTCGGAGCAAAACCTCCGAGCCTGCTAGCACAATCGCAGCCGCGATCTCGCGCCTCATAAAGCACGAACGCAGAAAACGAAGACGGCGCGGCGTACGCGCCGGCGGCAGCAGAGGCCGTGTTGCCGGCGGCGGCGGCGGATGAGGCGGAGGCGGGGACGACTGTGGTGGCGGCGACGGCGGCGAGCGACGAATGAAGACGGCGGAGACTGTGGATACGACGGGAACGACGAGTCGGGTTGTCGGCAGAGACGGGAAGGGAGATGTCTATGGGGCTGTTGGAGACGGAGGGTGCAGCAGTGATTATGGAGACGGCGCAGAAGCTGCGGCTACAGCGGAGACGGTAGAAACGGAAAGGGTGGAAGAGACAACACGGTTCATGTGTAGCGGCTGCGACGGCGTGACGGGGGGTTGGCGGAGACGGCTGTCCCAGCCGAGACGCGACGGGGGTCGAGAGGACAGTGAAGATTGTGGGGACGGCGGAGACGGAGGGGGCGGCGAGCATGGGAAACGGCGCAGACGCAACGGGCGGCGGAGACAGCGAAAACACGGACCTGTGCGTCCCTGTAGCGGCTCCGTCAGAGCGACAGGAGTCGGCCGTCACGGAAGGACGCCGATGATTCGGGGAGAGTGAAGATTGTTTGGGACGGCAGTGAATTGTGGAGACGGCGTAGCTGCGGCGAGCGGAGAGGACGACGGAGTCTACGTCTGTAGCCATGGCGGCGGGGCGGCGGGGCGGCGGGGGCGCGGGCGGGGGCGGCGGGGCGGACGGGGTCGCCGCCTATACACGCCCGCAGGAAGACATCGCGGGCGGCAGCTGCGCCTCGTTCACAACGTATGCGGCACGCGCGTCGCCGCGTCATGTTCGCGTGTAGGGGTCGCTGGGCCGCGGAATAGCTCACGCGCGCGCGCTGGTGCTACCGAGGCGCTCATGACTTGATCGTGTGCGCGCTCCCGCGACCCCCGAGCGCACTTCGGCTTCGTAGGTGACATTGCGAACACAAGTAATACCTCTGCTTTCAACTTTCTGACGCTGTCGAATTCGGTTGCTAAATTCTCCCCATCCCTCTCCGCCTTTGTCTAATATTGCCTGAGGTTAGCATTCCCCGCAAGCATTGTTTCCTTTTCGTATTTCCATTTTCCCATCGTCTTAACCGCCGTTCTTGGCTTTATCCTTAGCGCCCTCATTCGCCTCCACTTCCTTTTTTTCCAATTACATCCGCATCTCTAGAAATGCCATAATCTCCATCTTCTACGTAGTTACTCCTTTTTTACCTTATAAGATCATCCAGTTTCCGCTTCACCAAATTATCTCCATCCTACACATCATCCGCAAGTCTGATATTCGCTTTATGGCCCTCAAAGTCTGCAGCATCCTTATTTCCACGATCACTGCCACTCTCCATTCCCATCGTCACGTCCTTCCTCAAACTCAAAATCCTGCACCCCAACCATCGCACTGTCCTCCTTTTGCCCCCCTCTGTCCCCAGTTTAATTCTGCACATAAATATCCAGAGAGTGAGGACGATAGGGCGGGGAAACAGCCAGCCGGCCTCTCCCCTTCCTCCCGCAGTTTGTTCCGAGACAAGTGTTGCGCCGTGTACGGCTATATGAGTCCATTGTGTGAAGATTCAATGGCAGCCGCCATCGCATCGGCAGCTCCGCGTGATGAACGACCGGCTGGAGATTCGCGCGGCGCCGCGGGACTCGACGCCCACGGGCTGCATGGCGTCTCACTAACGCGCGAAGCCGCAGGCGGGCAATTCTCAGATTAGTGTTTGTCGCAAACTAACATTTCGAGAGCTCAATCACCTACGTACGGACATAGGATTACAGTACTCAGACCCATCGTATATTGGATATCCGAAACGGAAGTAGTATCTGGAAAATGTCTTTTTTCTTATGAATGAAGATAATTCATATTAAGTGCTTCAACGTCATTTATTCTTGGACACTAAAATGGAGGGGGTAAAAATACAAGCATTACACTTGTTATATTACATTACGGGGGTACGTGCGCAAATTTGCGTATAACGTGTAATAAACAAGCAAATAAAAAAACAAGAAGGATTAGAAAATAAAATCAAAAACCTAATTTTGTAGAAGCGTTTTGTTTCAATGGAATTCAGAGATCACTCAGTTGCTTGAACCTGCCTAAAACATCTACTAGGTAGAGCGAATCGAGAATGGCTAAGAACAAAATATAAGCAAGGCGATATCATATCTTACTCATTACCCATTGATCTTCCTCTCAGCGTTTCGATTACTTATAAAAAACAACCTAACTCATAATTCAGATAAAATGAAAGTTTGGATTAAAAATGAATTCAATGCGAGAAATTATTCACGGTAACAATACAGAACCCAGTCAAAACTAAAACACTTTCGGCAGAGCAGCTGCTATTTCTTACGATTCCGCACCCTTGCAATCCACAATTACTTCGATCACAACGCCGCAAATCCTACGAGACTTCCTCATAACCCAAGCATCAAGCCAACGCAAGCCCCTTTAATCAAGCTGATCTATTGCGGCGAAAGCAAACGGGCACGTAAACAAATTAGTACCCGCAAAGAGTGCGCAGGTACTCGTGTAACGCCGCACTCTTACATTTTAATGAAACGCCGCTTGGTTTATCGAAGCGGCGGCGACGCCGAGCATTCCTTGGGGTGAATTCGTTGGCGTTCGTATTAGCGTCATGAAATACATGACATTGCCATTTAACTAGATGCACTCGCACACATTTGCACTCACACACGTGTGCGCTTGCGCGGAGACACGCGTACAACATTGCATGGTGTGCACACAACGCAGGTGCATTTAAAACTAATCTAGTCGCCCCTCCCATTCAGCTTACAGGAAGAGAGGCGACGGAACGGAGAAACGAGACTTCCTCGCAATCGCCACCAACAGCTGCGGCGAGAGGCCACTCATAGAACTTGGCCTCTCGACTAGCTAATTATGCTAATCAAATTCCAAGCGATCTGTTTCTACCAGTTTTCCAACCATCATTCACGCGATAAACTAACATTCGATGCTTCACACTCATCACCGCGCTTGCCGCTTCAGGGATTTGCGCAATATTTCCTCACGTATCTTAGGAACACGGGTGCTTCTCCATTCTTCCCAAACGCTTGCCTCATGTGCCGGTGGTCGACCACTTCTTCTTCTCAAGGCGCATTATCTTCTGAGATTTGTCAGGAAGTCTGTGGAAAGTAACCGGTAAAGTTGCGTTATGAAGACATCGCAGCATAAAAGGATATTCATTCGACTCGCGGATGTTCGTCCCGCACGAGTAAAGACACCGGAACAACCTTTAGAGTAGATTTACAAGGATTATAAACTTAAAATATATTAAGCATAAGAACATTCCAGTCAACTTCAAAAGAAAGATGTTGGAACGTCGCGCTGTTTAACAATTTCATCCTTAGCTTTAAAATGATCTTCAATTTTCAGAACGACCTTAACAAAATTCACTAATCAATTCAAGTAAGGCCAACTGTTTTAAATAGAAACTAATTTTACTTTTGCCATCCGCTCACGAACATAATTTCTTTATTCTGTCTATTTTAATACTTATTACGAAACGTAAACAAGATGACTATAAAAAAGTTTTAAATCCCATCGTAACATTTCTTTGAGACCGATAATATATAGTATTGCAAATTAGGTTTTGTAGACACTATAAAGTTACCTCAATTTCTGCAAGTATAACACTTGTAAGTTCTTGAGAAATATAAGAAAATTACCACAACCAGTTGGTTATTCCTTACAAACTTGTCTCTACATAGAAACCGACAGCGACAATCCTCGCGAACACAGGACGTTTACGATCGATAATTTCGCATTTGGATTTTCCATGATTCACCGTCGAGAACACTTAAAATCACGGATAACTCTGAAAGAAGAGACACAGCTCCTATCACAGCGGATTTGTAGCAATTACGGGGATTCTTGTTCAACCATTTGCCGCGACCAGTTAATACACGAAGTCTACTTCTAGAACGGGCACGAGATACGCCGTAACGCCCACACGGCTTGCTTACATGCCTAGTCTCTGAAGTCTGCATATACGTAATTGAAGTGATCATATATATTACAGGCCATAATCAGTAACAACAGAGGAGCCCGAAGGCATGCATAATTCCCAACTTGTTTCTTTACGATTATAACGGACGTGCAAAGGCGAAATTACAAATACAATCAAGTTCTGAAAGCCAGCACGAAATTTATTTGAAAAGTAGGATAATGGCTTCTTCAGTGTTCACGTTTTTCGGTCACGGTTAGACCGCATTTAAAACCAAACTACAAACGCAGGTACTATCTCACGAACGTTGTTGTAAATTCTACCTTGTTAACTCCAAACCATAAACTTTCAGGTGGAGTGAAAACATAATCCTTGTTATTTACTCTTCCTTTTTTAAAATGTTAGCGTGCGGCGAGGTACGAAGTACATGGTAGGTAAGATATCACTAAGGAAAAGAATACATGACGATATAGTAAGCTTAGGCGAAGACGGGAATTAAATACAAGAATATTTGAACAAGTACGAATAAAATTCAATTAAATCTGTTTCTTGAAATCAATTTGGCGAATCCCGACTTAATACGTTTTCATTTAATTTAACGTGGAGGGGAGTTTGATTAAAAGTTCAGTCTTCTACATCATACATTTAAATAATTCAGAAAAATATATATTACTTAGTTACCTTTTCAACAATAATACATAAAAAAGGTATTATTAAATCTGAAACTCTACGTATCATCATACTCTAGTTTCACGAAACTTGTTTCTTCATACAGTTCACAATAAGTTGACCAGGATTCACCAAATACCTGAGATGGATATAATGAATTAAGTCTGCATGTACTTAGTTTGAAATTTCTTGAGGTATTAACAATTTCATCTGAGTTGCTTTCGATGCGTATAAAGATCAATCTCAAAAACAAAAGTGTTCAGCCTAATAACAGTTGATTGGTATTTCGAAACATACTTCACCACTGCTAACATGAGAGCCCGCGACAGAAACAACACATTCTCCCTGTAGCAGAAACCGCGCCGTCGCCAGCAGAATCCGTGAGAAGTGCATTTCGACCGAGAGAGCCACGAGAGCAAGGAGATAAAAACGCAGCCTCCACCACTTGTTGCACCTGCTAAAATCCCAGGCGGGTGGTGTGGACCTCTCCATTCATCCTCCGCCCACGCACCTCCCGGAAGTTCACACGTGCGGCAGCGGCGGCGCTGAGAGAGAGTGAGAGAGAGAGAGAGAGGGGAGGGAGGGAGAGGGAAGGGAAAACGCGCGACGCGGGCAGCCCCGCCAGAGGACACGCATATTTCATTACGTCGCGCGGCGCGTACCGCACGCCAAGCGAGAGCCGCCGTCCACGACGCGGCCAGCCGCACGAAGGCGTCCGTCCAGAGATTTAGTGGCTGTACACAAGATCCGCCGATACGACGTTGATCGTTATAACGAACGTCTCGAAGCGCCGCTGCGCTCGCGAGGGCCGCTCGTGGACGGAAGCCCGCGCGGCGGCAGCCCGTGGGGCGGACGCGAATGAATGGGCGCGCGGAGGCGGCGCGGCGGCCGAGGGAGGCGAGGGGGCAGAAAAATGGGATCCGACGCCTGATAGGAAATGAGAGGCACAAACAATAACGCAGACGAACGAGAAGAATTGTCAGGTTAGATAGGATGACCATCGCAACAGACACGGACAAATGGAAATGATCAGAAGAAGACATGACGGAACTGAAGAAGGAAACGGGAAGGAATAGAAAGAAAATGGCCCAAGACAACACGAAACGAAAAAGTGGAGACAAAAATAGTACATAGCCGCAGAATATATCAATTAATAGAGAAACTCCTGAGATTTAAAGTCTAAAACAATGAATTTACAAATCTGCAGATAAATTGACAAGATGAGAATCTGTGAGCGAAATAAAATTAGGGAATAACAAAATAGTTTCAATGAAAGAAGTCCGGAGAAAACAAGTGTATGAGAAGATGAGCAAGGTAGGCATGAGAAGAAAACCACGAAATAAAGCAAGAGAAAACGCGGCGGCAACAGAGGATGGGGGCGCGGGCGGGGGCAGGGGCCGAGGAGGCGCGGCCTGAGAGGTCAGCGACGTTCCGCGGAAAAACGCCAGCGGCCACAAGCGAAAAAAAAATACAGGAAAAAAAACTACAAATAAATAAATTACATCACTCTCGTCTCCGAACATGAGTTACGCGCGTATTTTCAATGTTGCGAAATGGCTATTATCTACCTGTATTCACTTACGTTTCTCGCCCTCACTATTTCACACCTGCCGCCTAATATATTTCCTCCGAGTCATGCGCGAGTGGGAGAAACGACGCCCGGGCCGAGGCGGGTCGGGTCGCCCGCGTCCGCGCCAGCGCCGTGCGGCGGCGGAGCG